GTTTGTATGGAAAAATACACATCAGTCTGTTAATAGTGGTTATCTCTAAGGAGGAGGATTGAGATAGTAAAGTGGAAGAGGAAATCTACTTTGGTGTACAAATTCTGGATTTTTATTGATTTTTTTCTCCTAAAATGAGCACGTGTTATTTTTGGAATCTGAAAAAAAAATGAGTAAGAAAATTAAAAGACAATGTGGGGCAGATTGCATTTTCCAAAGATAACTGCACTAACATATTCCAACCCATATGCTCTTCTTGCAATATGACACTGACATTCCTTTAAAAAGAGATAGGAGTCTATATTCCCTCCCCTTGAGCCTGAATAAACCTTTGTAAGTGCCTCAACCAACAGAAGAAATGGAAGAAGTGCCACTGCTTGACTTCCTAGGTTAGATCATAAGGGCAGTAGGGAGTCCAACTGGCTTCCTTGCTCTCAGAACACTTACCCATGGAATTCAGCCACCACGTTGTGAGGAAGCCCAGGCCACATGGGGAGGCCACATGTTTCCACCAGTAGCCAGCATCAACTGCCAGACATGTGAGTGAAACAAGCCTTCAAATGATGATTCAAGTCCCCAGCCTTAGATTCTTCCAGATGAGGTCCCAGACACTGCAGAGCAAAGACAAACTGTGCTTGCTGGCCTCTGTCTGAATTCCTGACCACAGAAACCATGAGAGATAATAAATTATTGTTGTTTTAGGCCACTGAGTTTTGGGGTAATTTGTTATTCAGCTATAGATAGCAAATACATAGTGCATCTAACCAAGGTAAAAAATATTTTGTTTCCTTTAACAGTTTTTAAAAGTCATTTCAAATTGTTTGAATTTACTGTTATTACAGGGCCATTGTATTTTCTTAAACTCACCTTTTTTTCTGTTCTTAAACTCACCTTTTTTTCTGTTCTTAAACTCACCTTTTTTTCTGTTCAGGAACCATGCCAGCTGGAGTTGAAGCCCACCATAGTGAGGTGGTTGTTCTGTGGGTCTTACCCTGCTCAGCAGACAGAAAATTCTTCATCTTGTTCCTTTCCAGCAGCTGGTGCTAGGAATTGCGTTCTGTATGAAGATTGGAGAAGAAACTGTGCCTTGAAAAATGACCTCACTTGTCAGAAAGTTTGAACCCTGGGGAGGGACCAGAGCTTGGACAAAGTAAACCAATAATAGAAAGGTGAAAACAGGTTGAAAACATTAAATCAAGATATAAATACGTATAATTACAAAGACATATCTCACAACCTAGGCCCTAGAACCAGGGTCAGAAAGGCTGCAAAAGGTGGGTGAGCTAGTCTGGTGGTCGTCTCCCCAGGCTGCACTTTGTAGTCACCTGGGAGTGGTTTCAGAAAATACCTGAGTCTGGGGGGGCCTGGGCATCAGTATTTTCTTTAAACTCCTCAGATGATTCTAAAGTACAGCCAAGGTTGAAAACTATGGAATTTCTAGCTCAATCATTTCGGGGTTTTATTTTTTCTCTCTTCTCTAAAATACCTGAGAGAGAGCATACATCCTGTCCACAGTGGTCTTACTTCAGATTAATCTTCAATGACAAGGAGAACTGGTGAGACATTTGTTCAGAAAACACAAGTAACTTACTATACATATATATATTTATATAATTATATTTATTTATATATATTTATATAATTAACATATACTTTTTTTTCTTTTTAGTTTGTCATTGTGATGCACTTCCCTGGGGCATGCTTGCCTATCTAAAACTTCACAGATATTATGCACACACTCAGAAAAGTTTGCTGGCCTTTGAACCAGGTTTAGTTCCAATACCTAGCTCTCTCCTCTGCACAATACAACCTCTCAAATCCAGGTTAAGAGATAAGACCAAAAAAAAAAGGTTTTCCTTTTTCCTGCACTTTACAGTGCATTTCCAAGAGCCCCAGTTGCAAAAGGAAGTCTATCAGAAGGGCTGTCAGGTGTTACCAGGAGTTGGAAGAGGGTGACTCAGGAGATGCAAACCTGATGGAAGTACCAGCCCCTCACAGAGCCTGAAAGCTCCCAATTTCCCAGAGAGATGGGACAGGACCCAGAGGAGGCTTGTCTTGCTATGGCTTTCCTGGTTGGACTGAGTGGAGAGGGAGGGGCCGCCACTGTCTATGTCAGGTGTCCCCAGCTCCTGTTGAGCAGGTTTCTCCTCCAGGATCTAAGCAATTTGTTGACTCTGAGGGTTTGCCCTTGGACAAGAGAAAGGCATTCTCTATCAGCCACCTGTCATCTGGCATGAGCCAGAACCTGGTGGGACCATGAGAAAACACAAGGTTCAAAGAGAAGCTGAATGAACAGGGTCCAATTTATTTTATGGCTGATGGTGGTGGCAACCTTACTGAACTGTGACAACAGTGCAATCAGCACTCACCTTAGCTTAAATATCATATATGGAAGACCCAGTGACAGACCTTCAAGAGTCCAGATGAGAAAAGTCAGATCTGAGTTTGAGTCCTAGATCTTCCTTTCCACTATGTGATATTGTCTGAGGTCTTCAATGTGTCTGAGTCTCAGTGTCCTCATTTGTAATGTGGAGTTAGTGATACAACCCACCAAGCCTGCCTGGCAAAGTTGTTATGAACATCCTAGAATTTTGCTGGAGATTGAAATCCAATTCAGCTATCCATTGTTTTCAAAATCCACTCTTTTCCCTCTCATTTTGAAATTCACATGATAGGTTTTCTGGCCCCACTTGCTGCTTATCTGCAGTCTCAAACTCCCCGGCAGTGCTTCCTTTACACCACCTGCAAGCTCTCTTTGCACCCTCAGGTGTAACTCATAGGGCCTGGGCGCTCTCTTTCAACTATATTCACCAGACATCTGTTGAGTGCCAAGCACTGCACCAATGCTGACACACAATGGAGAGCAAGATGGCTCTGGATGGGCAGGAAATGAAATCAAATTCTCACACAAATAAGCAGATCACTACAAACAGCCAACTATGCTAGGAAAGAACTGCACGGGGTGGTCCAAGACTCTGAAATGGTTCTGGGCAGGGGTAGCGGTGGGGGTTGCAGGTGGCACAGGGGGAGGGTGGTTATGACCTGATCAGGGAGATTAGGATAAGCTTTTCTGAGAAAGTGATGCTGGGGCTGAATCAGGGTTGGGGGTGGGGGGAATATAGAAAACAGTGTCATTGTGGCAGAAGGGGTCATGAGCAAGTATGAGAGGCTGAAAGCAGTTCAGCAGTGAAAGAGCAGAGAGGATGAGAGGCTCACTGTGGGGGAGGCTGGGGATATGAGCAACAACCAACCATGCAGGACCAAGGTAAGGAGCTTCGTATTTATCCAGGTAGTAACTGAGATGCTTCTGAAGGTTTGGGGCAGGGTTGCTATCTGGAGAAAGTACTGGAGGCCAACAAGACTCATTGTGCAGAAACTTGCAGGAGACCAGGCAAGACTTGAGGGTGGCTTGGGCTGCAGAAGTGGCAAAGAGAGGGGGTGTTTGAGAGAATTTGAGGAATATTCACAACTCACTGCATCTGTGAGTTGCCAGTCTGACTGATGAGATCATAGTACATTTACTGAGCCACACCCAGCAGTGAGCAAGGTCACTTTCCATTGACAGGCCAGATGTGTGGACATGGTTCTTTTTAGCTCTTTCCTCTCTTTGTTCCTATGCAACTGAGGTGAGGAAAGGGCTGGGACCCACTTGCTCATTGATGAAATCCTGGCTGGCTTGCTCTTTACTCTTCTCATATATTGAGATGCCCTCATTTCTCTTGGTTATAAGGTGCCAAGGGGAAGGAAATGGCTCTAGAGGCCTGTAGTCCTGGCCACATACTCTGGCTCATTTGTACATGAGGGTTGGGAAACAGGTCCAACACATGAGAAGATATCTTGTTTCCTACTAGCCATTGATTCTTTCATACATCTCCTTTGGGGATCTTGTTTGGAAGTTTGTAGTCGAGTGCAGAAATCTAGCATCTCCAGGCTCCCTGATCACAGCATCACCTTAATGCCATCCACCCTCCACACCATTTCTGATAACTTCACTGCTAATGCCTCTTTTATTCTCTAACATTGTTCATTCATTCACTCAGATCTACTTATGTGTGAGGGATGGTTCTATATTCTGTGAACAAAAATGCCCTCAAGAAGCTTACAAACTAATCCAGGAGTTCCACAATCTTTTCCTGATGAACAATGTTTTGAATTCTCCTGAAATGTTAATACTAAAAAAGGTAAAATAAATAAACCTAACTTGCATGGAAGGCTGGGCACCACACACCATCCATCAGTTGTTTCTGCTGGAGGTGTACCTGTTATGGCACATATAGCCACTCAGAAGAAGAAAACAAAGGAGGTAGCAGAGAATAAACAGAAATGGTGGAAGGAAAACAAATGTAAGAGAAAAAGGTGAGGGAGCAAGCCCACCGCATCCACACAGACACACGTGCCTTCCTCCTGCCTGGTGAAGCTGGCCGCAGTGCTCCAAACGTCCAGGACTTTTGTTTTTGCCTCCTGGGCAGCTAGGTTCCTGTTCATGACTAGCCAATAGCTTGGGATTCAAAAGTCCAATATGTTCTTGCTTTTGTGGGGTGATGTTTCTGCCTTTTTTTTTCCCCCTCTGCATGTCTAGTGACTTTGTTTTTCATTCACTGCAATATACAGTGTTCTCCAAAAGGTCCCATCCCTTTCAGGCTCTCTGATAATGGAATCATAAATTTACACAATTTCTGTCACTTCCACCTCACTAACTAGTTATTCCTTGTTGGTCAGTTAAATCCAGACAGGCAGATCCTCTCAGATGCTTCTGAAAGATGATATTGTCAGCAAGTCAGGAATTTATTCCATTTGCTGCTTTTCATGAAACGAAACTTCCAACACTTGTCCAACTCTGCTCTGCCTTGCCTTTTTGCCACTTCTGAAATCCAAACTAGGGAACATTTGTGCTTTTACAGTTAACATATTATCTCAAATAATTTGATATTCACAGCAGCTCTCAAAGGGATTTTTATTATCCCCATCTTACGGGTGAAAAAACTGAGACTCAGGAAGGGTAAGTGACTTGTACAACGTTATGTAGGTAGATCAAGGCAGAGCCACAACTCGAAGGTCTACGTTCCTTGCTCATTTCACTGCTCCTTATCTGCCCATGCAGCCTGCAGAACATCACCAGCTACACTCCTCCATCTCACAATCCTCCTCAGCAAAGCCACGCACAGCTCATTGAAGCTGTCCAGTGCAGCACTGGTTATGCTGCCTTTGAGTGTCGTCACCTGCTCTCAAACCACAAGGGCCAACTCCACAAACTGCACAGGACAAGGGCTCCCAGCCAGTGTCTCCTGTGGAGTCCCCAGTTGTTCTGAAAGCGTCTACTCAGTTGTGTCCTCTTTTTAACATTTGATTTTGTGCTCTATCAGCCTTAACTTTCATATTGTCACCGACAAGCTACGTGACAGTGCAGGAGTTCCCATAAAGAAACAAAGGAAAACTATCATATTGGAGGTTTAAAGGGAAATTTTACAGTGACCTGAACACCTTGAAGAAAATGATTAAGGAAAAGAGAACACCAGATAATTAGGGTCCTGTGGAGTATCGTCGTCTGGGTACTAACCAACAGTGCATGATTTCAACAGGTTTAAAATGCCATTCCGTGAAGGATGTGCTAGAATGACTAAGAGCACTGGTTTTCCTGCTTTCAGGAAAGCATCCTCCAGCATCCATTCCCCACACCCCACTGAAATATAGGTGATCCTCTAGTGCATTTTCACCCTCAGGTTTGTGAATCCCTATAGTGGTAATCTTCCATTTCTGTTAACAAGTCAGTCCTTCTGAACAAAGCCTACTGTCTCATCTCCATGGCCCAGGGCTGAATCCTATTCATAAGTTTAATATTTTAATTAGAGGATGATTTTTAAAAAATGCCTTCCATTTCCACTATATCTGTTTGTATGTATTTCCTATCTTCTAGATCTAATTTATTCAACTTGTCTAGAAAATATCCTAAAATGAGAAACACCACTACTTACCCATTTGTTAAGTAGCACAGCACTCAACATAACACTGAACATTCGCTTTAATAATCTAAGGTACAACAATATTGCATCCTGCAACTGATACCATTATACCATTCAGATACTCAAAGAAGCTAGTAGCCTCAGCCATTTATTATTTGCATCTAGCACAATGCCTGTTACAAAGTAGGTGATCAATGCTGAATACTATGCCCCAGCAAGGATTCAGATCAACAGAAAACACAATTACTATCACAAATTACACATTCTTTGGTCCCCCTCACCACTTTGACACAGGCATCATAGTTTCAGAATCTTATTAAGAACAGGAGAAGCTAGGGAAAATTAAGAAAGTTACAACTTTAAAAGTTCATCTGAATAAATGGGTGGATATGCAAAGGCTCAAATATTCTCTATTTCACAATTCAAGACCATTTCTAAACTTGGATTTTTCTAGTAGTTTGAAAAATCACTTTGAAAATGTCATTCTCATTTACAGTATCACATTTCACATCCCAGCTCTTACTCATATGCATATACATCTGCATGAGTGTGTTCATAAAATGTTTTTACTGTAAGTGTCCTTTTAAGGTCATTTGAAAATGACAAAAGAATTAAAATTCTGAGACTCAAAATTTACTTTTAGTTCACTTAAAACTCTTCCACTCCATTGATTCTTTATCCATCAAATGAGTGCAATTGATTCCAATACCATATCAGGTTAATCAAAGCGTGTGGGATTGCTAGCACTCTGAAGAAAAATTTAATTCTATCCAAACATGTAATTACAAAAATCTTCATACTCCTTTTGTGCATGATAAAATGTCAAGTAAGACTCAGTAACGTAACACGTTAATTCAAGTGATTTCAATTTTATTTTTTCTCATAGTCTTCAGGTGGGAGAACTATCATGCAGAGTATCTCACCACCCCTCTCCCTACCATTCCTATCATTCAAGAAAAACTGGGATCTAGGAAACAGAGTAGTACACTATCAGTGGTGTTAACATATACAATAAGCTAAAGCACCATGCTAATAAAGTCAGGGTCCTTGAACTAACCCCTGCAAAAGCCAATTCGTTTCTGTTTGTCCCAAGGACCCAAACTGCACTCCTAGCTGCAGACAGCTTTCTTACAAGGTGTCCCACTGGCCACAAGATAGGCAGGGGGAACCGGCAAGGAGGTAAGTGGATGAAAACAAATCTTCACTAATGGAAAAGAAAATCCCATGTAGAAGTTAACTGAGTATTATCCATAAAGAAAAAAATCACATATATTCTTAGCTCCACATTAGACATATTTCAAGTCTAAAATACTGGATGACAGTTAACATTTGACTCCTGCATTTTAGAACTGCCTAATAGTAACATTCTACACAGAGCTACAGTAAAGGCCCTGCTGTTATCCAGTTTGTCTAATGAACTGTTAATTCCATTCAGACATCTTTTTTTCTCTTTTTACTATTAATCTTACCATGGTTTTTAAATAAATTTACCATTAGTTATTTGGTTCAGAATATTGTGAAAAATTCAGCTAGGAAATTATTCATAAAACTGAATTCTGTATTTTATTTTTCAAACAGCCAGTGTCCACATTTAAAATGCAGAATTTGCAAATATAAATTAGTCTAATAATTCAATTAAAAATAAAACAAAACAACTTCCTTTAGTATCACAATACATAAAATAGTATTATAAACTCCAAATGGCAAGGTTAACTACATGACAGTAATGCCAGAAGCCGTAAAACTCGTTAAACCTCTTAATGAATAGGTCAGTTTAAAGAACATTTCTGTGTTCCATGATTATGCATGAAACAAGCTTTCATTGTATTATAAAGGCTCAGCAATTCATTCATGGCATAATATGGGGTCAAGCAAAATTTTATTTTTACATTGACAATAAAAAAAACGCATTTAAACAACAAAAAATCCTCCCAGTTGTTTGAAAACAATTCTCTTTGCAAGGTAAAATGTATTTTAAAATATATTTACTTACCGAATTTCAATTGCCAGGCTGTTGACTACTGATGTGAAAATTTGTATTTAAAAATATCACAAATATCTTTTTATTTAACAGTGAAAATTTCAATGTGATAAGTTTCATTGCAAAGCAATTTTCACCTGAGTAGACGTTGAAATTTAGTGCTCATATATTTGGAGGGGAGGTGGGGAAGGAAAAACCCACTTGTGTCAGATACTGAGTTTGTCGTTCTTTCACACTGATTTCCCAGGGGGCTGAAGAAACATCGGCTGTGACCTCCCCAGGACACATGATGCTCCCCTTTCACCTGTAAATTGGTTCTGGCATTTTATAAATTCTCAGTACCCATAATATTGCCGCTTAGTTACGCATTCACGCTTAGCAACCCAATTCATTCAGTTCTATACAACAATGTCTATATTATGTACATGTTTAATTATCAGTAAGAAGTAGAAAATAAAATTTACAGTGATTGAGAAAGGGTCAGAAAACGGGACAGGAAAAGTAATACTGTATAATCAGAATATCCTATTATCCTACCAGTTTCAATGACAGGGATTTTCCTTTATTAGTTGAAATACAAAGAAGGCATAGGGGATCCCAGGAAAACACTATATATCAGAAAATTCAACGTGCTCCACCATCAGGATTTCCATTACACATTTAATTTCTTCTGTACAATTTTATAAACTTGTTTTTCTTTTCAAAATCGTCAGATTTCCAGATTAAATTCAGCACTACACAGTATGCCCTTGAAGTAAAATGAGGTTACCTGCTTTATTTGGATACCAAGTTCCCTTCCAGACAGTATTAAAATAAAGACAATTAAGACTACACAGATAAAATCCAGTATAATTCAAATCCAACAATGAAAAATTTCCCCCATATTGTTGCAAAATTCTTTCTAGTGAAATGCTTTGCTACAATAATAAAAAGCATACATTACATATAAAAGATACCAGTGTACTAAAAAGTGACAGAAGTGGACTAGCAAATCCTTCAAAGCACATTATATAAATGACTAGCATTTAAAAACATTTTTCCTATAAAATGTAGGTCATATACATTTATAAATTGGCGGTTTTGTTTCTAAAGCAGTGATGTGTGTGTTCAAATAGTTAGCTGTTCTGTACAGTATACTAATCTACTCAATTCAAACTACAATAGGTTTGTCTTTCTTTGTATTGAAGTTGAATAAATTCATCTGATCAGCTGAGAAATCAAGGTTGAAAAATAAGTATCTAAAAATCAAAGTAGAAAGTTTAGAATTCTTGAAATGTAGCTATTGAAATATGAAGAGAACTATTTCACAATGGAGCTGAAGTCACCTCAAAACTTATGGGCTTGAATCTAAAACAGAAACAAATATTAAAATCCAAAGCAAACCACAAAGTTAGGTAGCAGTACAGAAGCAGGAAAAAAAAACACACCCCCTTCCTTCAGTGTGATGGGCACTAAGTTTTGCGGTCTTCCTCCATCTTGCAGAAGAGTGGTAAGGCCATTCAATGCTTAGTGAAAGTGAGTACAGATGAAGTCAGATTTAGCCTGTCTCCCCTGCAACTTCAATTATGCTGTGTAAACAGTGTTATGTTCCAATAGGAGGAACAATGGAATTTGCTTATAAAACTGATTAAAGATAATCATTATTAAATGAAATAAAGATAATAACTCTGAAATGTTTCTAGAACTTTCCTGATGCTACTTGTAAAGTTAGCACTGCTATGTATTATTGCTTACATACAGTACAACATCATATGCCTTCTAACATAAAGCAGTACTGTGATCTGTTTGTACATATTTACAGATTCTTAAAAACAAGCTGTAAAAACATTACATACTTTCAGACAATACAAATTAGCACATTGGTACTCACTTCAAAACAAATGGAATGCATAACATTAATAAACATCATAAAGGAAGACTCACATAAAAGTTCTTGATTGTCAAGACACGTTTATATATAAACTCTAACTGTGCAGAATTAAAGATTCAATCACAGGTACATCCTTATTTGATGAACCATATTTACAGCATGGTATTGCATAAAAAAATAAAATAATGTTTACAGGGTTTTACTTTTTTATCCATTGGATTAAAGAAAGCAACAAACACAACAGGAAATGTTTGTCTGCTTTAGTTTGTTTCCTACCAAAGTTTAAGTGAAAAAAGGAAACATATGGTTTTTATTTGCAGAATATAGCAAAAACAACTGGAAAATTATTTCCCTGAAATAAAGCAATTTGAAACGGAAAAGGTTTAAATTAAATGGCAGAGTC